ATTCTGGCTAGGCCATCACCTGTGGGCTCGTCAACCTGCCACTCAGCTTTAAGGGATGTCCTGTGCTTATTCGTCCGGAAGGCCTGGCGCAGCCTGGCCTCTGCCTCATCCAGCAAGCCTCCGCAGCCATCAGCTGTCAGGGTGCCAGCAGCTGTCACTGGCCCGGACTCACCACTATGCAGGAACTGGAGAGGCAAGGGTTCTTTTCCACATTCCCAGAGACCACGGAAGATCCAGCGCCTCGTGGCCCAGCCCCGCTCACCCCAGCTGCCCACTGGAACCCACATCACCCTAAGTACAGAAAGCACTGAACAGCCAGCACCGTGCAGCCAGTGCTGAGGACTCTGTTTCCTACCCATCTCCCCCAAAGTCAGGTGTGAGGCTTGGGGGGCTGAGGGGTGAGGTTGCTAATCAGTTAGGCTACGCTGATTGCATCTTAATAACAAATGCAAAGCACCCGAGAGCAGCAATTTACAGTAATGGGAAAAATCAGCAGGTCCCTGGGGTTTGACAGGAAGTAAACACTCTCCAGGTTCAAATTTGGAGGAGGAAGAATCATTTGTGAGTTCCCCGGCAGTGCTTGGAGCTGCCGGTGTTTTCAGTCCTAAAGGGTAAAAGGCAGAGTGAGAAGAGACCAGGGTTGGGTTGAGGGAGGGGGAAACTGAGCCCAAAGCCAGGGCCACGCTCCTCTTTCCCCTCCTTGCCTCCTTGTTGGAGGAATCCAGTGTGGGACTGTCACAAGGTCACCTGTCCTTGTACCCAATGGCCAGCAGGAACCAACAGAAGAGACCCCTGCTAATAACATCAGGCCAAACGTGTGCTTGACTCAAAGTCCCTCATTGAGGGGAGACCAGGAAAAGTCATTTTACCCCACCAGCCTTTCTTACGGTAGACACCTGGAGTCACAGAAGGCTGGGACCTCACCTACAGGCTACCCTACCCTGCCAGAAGGTTCTTCTCTCTACCACTGCCTTGGAACGGAAGGGAGAGGTTAGCACCACTGGAAGGTGAGCCTTTTCACAGCAGCAATTTTTCTTCCTCTTTGAGAACATTCCCCACGCCGAACACACATATTTTTCTTACATGTAATTTGATTTAGATGGTTTCTTGACCTGCATCCAAATCGAGCCGTGGGTAATTATTACTGTCACTATTGTTATTAATACTGATATTTATCATAATCTCACAAATGCCAGGGACAGCCCTTAATCTTGCTGTTTTATTTGGTTGAAAGGAAAATGTGAAGCACTGGCGTCCGTCCCAGTTTACCCTCTTGTATTCACTTTACCAAACTCCTACTATGGGAATAATTAGCCCAATTTCCAGTGATCCCGAGTCAGCTGTAACTCTGAATTGCATTCGGAGGATAGAGCCAAGGCCAGCGGGTGGAAGTCATGAGAATTCAGATTTATCTCATTAAAGTGAGAAAATATCCAATTGTTAGGCCTTCTAACCAGATGCTTCATTAAGTAGCGAGCTCCCTGTCATCAGAAATATTCAAGTAGAAGCCAAAAGATTATCAGTCGGGTCTGTAGTTCAAGAGACAAAGGGAAATTTCCCATCTACCCTCTGAAGTTTTGCTGGAATAAACTGACAGAGAGAGATTCCGTGAAGAAAAGACACACAAGTATTTTACATGCACAGAGGCAGCTGTGTAACTACCATGCCCAATATGATTTGAAGCTTGACTACTTCCTCTAAAGCTTTTCCTTAGAAGAGGAGGAGAATGGGAAGTGTAGGCAGTTTTTAGAGGGATAATAAATAGTTTTCAGGGGAATTCAATGGGCTTGAAGAACATACAGAGGCCTGGGACAAAGTCTGCTTGGCCTGCAGAACAGAAAATGGTTTGTAAATGATTCTCTGTGGGACTGAACTAGAGGACCGTCATGTGTGACAAAAGTCTTCCCAGGTGTGTGGACTGGTGGCAGTCTACCTTCTTCTGATATAAATTTAGTCCTCTCTAGTTAATGAAATTTCAGTGACGTGGTCAGGTAAACAAGGAAATTTTGCAGCAGGCTACTGTCTGTGCCAGGAAGGGGAGAAACAAGGCAAAGTCGGAGGGACCTCCATTCTGAGTCTAAATCTTTTTACTTGCCTTTAGATCAAGTTGGTCAGCATGTCCCAAACCCCATATTTTGAGGGTACTGGTCTCTAGTCACTGTCTAGAGGTGGAATGAGTTCGATTATGGTTCTCAAACTTTAGGTCCATCAGAATCCCCCAAAAGTCTTTGGTGTCACACCTTTCTGGGTCCCACCCGACAAGTTTCTCATTCAGGCCCCAAGCAACTGCATTTCCTTGCTACAGCTGCCGGTTAAGGACAGACTTTGAAAACCACCAGACTAAGGGCTTTAGACTATTGGAAGCGCTCCTCCTGGCCCAAGGTTTTATGACATCGTGAAGTAAGAATTATGTAAAAAGTAACCAAGAGTGATTGAATGCTCAGGTTAAAGGGATAAGATGTGGCAGTCTTCTTACAAGTTTAATATGGATGTTTAACACAAGAGGAATTCGGTCTTCGTGACCTTTTATCATTGTTATGTCACCAGAGACAACCTGATTTATCCCACAAATGCTTCAACCTCTGCTTTTTCCCCCACTGTCTCATTTTGTTGGATGTTTTCTACTGCTCACTTAGGTCAGGTTAAAAAAAACACACACGTGCCAAAAGATGAAGTCCTGACTTTTATTCTCCCTGTAATAACTGTACACTTTCTGGCTTTGACACCTTAAGACAAACAAACAAAAAAACCCTCCTCTTCCCTGACACACTCTGGGCATCACATGGTGCCATCCTCTTATCTACTCTATTCCACTTGGGGCGCTGGAACTACGCAGAACCGTGTTTAAGCTCAACATGAATCCCATGAGCATTAGGAGAGACGAGCAGGCCCAGTAATACCTTGTAAAACATGACTTTGAGCTGCACATGGTGGTGTGCACCTGTACTCTACATGAGAGGCTGAGGCAGAAAGATCATGAGTTCAAGGCCACACTGGGCAATTAGAGAGGCTCTGTTTCAAAATAAAAGTAAAAAGGGGTGGGAGGATAGCTCATTGCTCCCTGGGTTCAATCCCCAGTAGTTCCAATGAGTGAATGAATACATACATACATATGTGACCTCATACGTGAGCTAAATGACCTCAGAGTATGTTCCACACACATTATCGTATTTGACCCCCCAACCATACAGAACAGGCAAGACAGGTACGATTGCTTCCACTTTGCTAAAAAGGAAGGTGATCGAATTCCTAAATTATTTGAAAGTCACAATGAACATTGCAGAACATTGTGAGAAAAAAATCCAGGTTTTCAGCTACCTTTTCAAGCTCCTCATGGAAACAAAGCTATAGGCAGAGGTGAGATGAGGGAGATAACCAGGGAAATGGTAACTTTGTAGCAGCCAGACAGGGCTGGAGAGGCTGGCCAGCCACGCAGCTCCCCTCCCTGTCTCCTCAGTCTGTCTGGCAAACTTCTCCAACCAACCATCCATCCATCCATCCATCCATCAATCCATCCACTTATTTATCCATCTATTTGTCTGTCCATGCATTCAACCAACCGTTTGTCTATCCATCCATTCCATCAATCACCCATTATCTATCCATCTGATTTCCCATCCATCCACCCACCCACCCATCCTATTTTAAAGATGAAAAAACAACTGCAAAGATGTGAAGTGCCTTGCCCAAGATCATACAGATGGTTAATATCAGAATCTGGGAAAGAATTAACTAGAACTCAATACAACCTATACACTGTACTACTTTTCAAGAGAATGGTAGCATGATTCAGGGTAGATTTGTGGAGGAGCTTTTCCCTATGATTTCTGTAATCCTATATCCTTTCTCTTTATTCTTGAAGTAGCTTGACATTTTATGCTTATTGCTTGAGTGAAGGAAGGAGATATAAGAATAAAGTCTCCCTAGGCTATGCATAGTGCCAGGCAAAATTTTTTGAAGGTGGTAGGAAACTGTCCATATGAGCAATCTGAGTTACCCAATCAGTATGCTAGATCTTATATAATTCTGAAAAAATGAATGTTATTCCATCCAGTGGGAGTTATCTGCTCATGGGCTGCCCTTCTGGAACCAGAACCCAGGACTGTGCCCCTGAGTGAATACATAGGCACAAGGTCTGGGCCTCTTGGGCATCCGCTAGACCTTAAATGGAGGGAAGAGTCAGAAAGTGCTCCAAAGGGATGAAGTAGGGATAAGGTACATGGATGCTACAGATATCAGAGGTGGACTCACACAGGTTCAGAAGATACTTCAGTGTGTGGGGTCCCCTGAGTTACAAGGCAGGGGCCTGTTATCCAGGCCTAAGGGGAGCACCAGCCCAGACCATAGCTTGGGGAAATGTCAATACACTGGGGATTCAGGGCATAAAAATGTATGATGTTTTTCTTACTCAGGGAGCACAGCTTCCCCAGGCTAGGACAGTGAGGGAGAGGAGACTGGAGAGGAGAGAAGGAAAGCCAAGATGCTACTGTGTCCTGACTTCTGCCAGCTGAACAGGAAAGAGGAAGGGCACAAACCTTGGGGGTGGTCCCCCAGCCTAAGAGGGGTAGCAGCCCCCACCTTTGTCTCCACCTGATTCTTCTGTGCCTGCCAAGGCAAGGGGCAAATGCAAGGCCTGTGTGGAGAAGTGGATGCCTCTGAGAAGCCCCTTCCATCTTACTTCCCAGTGCCCCCAGCCCTGCCTGTACCACGCTTGGAATCGCAGAGCCCATCACCAGTCCAGAGGAGCAGCAGAGAGCTGAGACAAGAAGGGACTCTCAGAAATCAGGATAGAGACACAACTATACCCACAGCAAATGGCCCTCGTCCTTCCGCACGCCTCTACATTCCAGGATTGTCTGTGGATAGTGGTAGACCTCTAAAGGAAGAGAGGAGCTCCCTGATTTGGCTAAGAATGCATTTTCACCACTTGGCTAAAGGAGGGCTCAAAGATGAAATTAAATTGTTAGCAAAAACAAAAGAGAAAATTTCAAAGCCACATCTTGGGCACATCCCATACTTTGTTTTGGCTTCGTGCTTGCTACAAGAGGTTCAGATGACAAATAACAGCTGAAGTCCTGCAGCACATGGATAGCTAGGAGTCCTAGGGAGCTGTTTTGTCCCTGAATCACTAGCAATGATGCAGCAGCAAAAAACAGGTGCAAGGAATTCTTTGGGATTCCATTTCATCTTGGGGTTCTCAGTCCTGGTCTCTTGCATCTCCTGCAGGCCTGTGAAGGGACAAACCCCTGGTGCTGTAAGAGGTCTCTGTCCTATCCCCCTACCTTCACTCCAGACTCTCACAAAGGAATGGGAAAATCATATGAACAGGGCCCCAAGCATCTATTCTTCGAGACTTGCTGGTCTCGAAGGCCCTGGGGTCAGTGGCCTTGCTCTAGTCTCAACAGGGAGGCAATGCCAGGCCCTGGTCCCCTTGGCCTCTGCTATAAGGAGCCCTTCTCCAGGCCCTGCACAGGCCAATTCGGGGAAGCCCTGGACAGATGGTGGGGGAGAGACTCCCTCCCAAGCACCTGCTGAGGTCATTCTAGAACCCAGCATGAACTTGTTACCTTCTGTTGTTTGCAGCAGTGAGGACATTCTTGTTTTCTCGTGGAAGAGCCTGGGTCACCTGAGGACACTTCTTGCAGTGATCCAGCTGGCTTTGTCTTCGTGTCACCTGATTCTCTGTGTCTGCTTCAGGGGTGATGCCCATCTTTTCCACAGTAATAAACACCCTGCAACTGAACTCGTTAAGAGAACAAAACAAAAAAATCTTTGTCATCTATGAAATAATGCCTTGGTCCTTTGTCCTCTTTTAGAAAGAAAGAGAGCAACCAAGTCTCCAGCAGTGTTTAACCTGGGCTTGCTGAAAAGAAGCAAATGTTCTTTAAAGGAAATAAAAGAGTAATATGAAGTCATCATAGATATAAATATCCATCTGCATGTAGAAAATATGTCACCAGGGTGCCTGGGGAGAGACATTGCGACACAAGAGTAACTAGGTCAGGTCACCTGTTCATGGTACGAGTAAATGAGTGTGTATAGGTAGAGGGTTATGTAGAAGTACACGTACATGGAGAAACATAGCAAGTCCAGAAAGTCACCTATAACCACTTGTAAGCTATCACTGATGCTGCCATCAATCCCAGCACCACCCTAAGTAGAGTGGGAGATGTATAAAAAAAAAAAATAGATAAGTTGTCTTTACTCTCATAAAAATGACAATCAAACTTGGGACTTCAGATTTTCCCAAGGCAAAAATTGTACCAATATAAAAATTTGTTAAAATTAGTAAATACAATATGAACCATAACTAACATGTCTTACGTGCTTACTAAGTCCAAGATTCTTAGATAAGTGTTTTTTATGTATTATCTCTAAATCCTTAGGAAAACAGACAAGTACAGTATTATTATTAGACTGATATTGAGAGGTCTGAGCTGGCCCAAGGTCATGTGGTCCAGGGCAGGACTTGAACTCAGGACCAGAACTGGGACCAAATAAAAGGAAAATGCTGTCAGCTGGGCTCTGACGTGGATCATGTCAGGGAGACATCAGTTTGGGGCAACTTGGTTTCTGCTCCTAGATCCTGCTGTTTGATGTCTTTGCAATGTCACACAGCTCTTTTAGCTGTGAAAGGTAGAAATTAAACGAGATGTCAAAATCTTGTCCTGGAGGCAGGGATCAGAGGAGGACACTGTATGGCTCAGGACACAACTCGGACCATCCTGGAGGCCTGGCTCCTTCACAGGAACCTCTCTGATTGGCTGTATGTATAAGCCATGAGTATCAGATCAGCACAGGCCAGACACCCAACACCCAGGTGAGACAGACACACTTCACCTGCTCTGTGAGCAGATTCTAAGCCTCCATGCTTTTCCATTTGAGGCTTTAAGCTATCTGGAAGTAACCCAGATCTCAATGACATGTAAAATAAATACAGTGCTACATTTCACTGTGTGAATCCGAATCTGAGACTTGTCCCTTCTCAGGGAAATGAGGGTAGAGGTGAGACTAGGGGATAAAGACAGGGGGTGGGAGGTGAAAATCATCTCCTGGAAGGGTGAGAGATATAAATCTGGGGACTATGTTCTTTTTCTTCATTATAGCCTAACTTTTTCATCTAGTGGGAAAAATGTCTAAGAAATGCTTCTGGGAACTTTCAAAAGAATTTCTAAATAAAATTCCCCAATCCCCTGAAGTATTACATATCTAAGGGGAATCCTCCTTTTATTCTTAATATCATTAACAAACTGTTGTCTCATACCAATGAGTCTAGAAGGTAAGTATCATGTCCCTCATCTACACGTGATGCACTGAGGTGACGAGAAGCTCTGCAATTTTCATAAAGTCTAATGACTGGAAAATGCAGGAGCCAGGATTCAAACCCACATCTTCCTGAACCAGGAGCCTTGGTCCTTAACTGGCTCTGCCATTTTCTCTGATAGCAGTGTAATTATCAACTCACTTTTCTCCCTCTGTCCATCATGAGATGTGTCCAGAATAAAAGGAGACCGATTTGCACAAATGATTCGTCTGCATAAGGGGATGCACAATTTTACATACAACTCAATGTGGGTTCTCAAGAATTCTTTTTTAAACCAAAAGACCAGCACTAACAACGACAAGAAATATACAGTATGAAAGACTTAAGCAAAATGAGAGAGTAGATGTTTACAGTTCACAGCAATTCTTTTTAGGTACGTTTTATATATAGTGAAGAGTATAGATCTTCACAATTCAGTAAGTTTTGGCAAAACTATACACATGTGTAAGCAACGAACAAACAACATACAAAATATTACCATCACCCCAGAAATGTCCCTTTTCACATTCTAGATAATTCCTACCATATTAGCACCAACTAGTTTATCTTCAAAATTTTTTTTTTCCATAAAAGTTTCATATAATTGAAAATGTATATTGTGCACTCTGCGTTTCACTTCTTAGGCAAGGTATGCTTTTGAAATTCTTCTATAGTGTTGCAAGTATCCATTGTTCATTCTTTTTGTTGCTCAGTGTTATTCTAATGTATGACTGTATCACAAAATTTGTTCATCCATTCTCCGACTGATGGGCGTTTGGGTTATATCTGAATTTAGCTATTACGAATCAAGCAGACATGCTTTTTTAGAAGTCTTTGTAAGGCCATATGCTTTCATTTTCTTGAGTTAATATCTAGCAGTGGGAGGATACATTTAACCTAAATTCTTAGACTCTACCAAAGTATTTTCCAAGGTGATTTTACATCAAGAGTTCCAGTTGCTCTACATCCTTGTCCATACTTGAGATTGTCAATTTTTAATTTTAGATATTCTGGTGAAATGGTACTTTCTTGTGATTTTTCTTTGAATTTCTCTAATGACTGATAATGTTGAACATCTTTTCTTGTGGTAGTCACCATTTCTACAACTTCTCTGGTAAAATGTTTTTTCAAAACCTTTGTCCATGCCTTTAACTGGATTGCTTGTGGGGTCTGGTTTCATATTACCTCTTGAGAGTCACTTATATGTCCAGAAAAAATCTGTATATGCTCCAGATGAAAGTCTCTTATACATGAGATTTTTAAATGTTTCCTTTAAGTATAGGCCTTGTCTTTTCATTCTCTCAATAAAAGTTCTCAATTTTGATGAATCCCAATTTGCCATTTTGTTTCTTTTATGTATTGAGTGCTGTAACAAAAACAAAAACAATCTTTTCCTAAGCAAAATTCACAAATATCTCATTCTATGTTTTCTAATGAAAGTTTAATAGTTTTTGGTTTTGAATCTGTACCTATGTTCCATTTTGAGTTGATTTTGGCTATGGTGTGAATTATGGATCAAAGTTCATTTCTTTTGCATATGGAAACTCAATTATTCTAGTACATTTTTTGGGAAAAAAAAACTCTTCTTTTCCCACTGAATTTGCCTGGCACTTTTGTGAAAACACAAGTGATTAAATATGTATGCTTTGATTTTTGGATTCTCTATTCCATTGATCTACTTGTTTGTCATAATGGCTATATATTTACAATAAATGTTGAAGTCAAACAGTGTCTTTTAGTTTTTTCTTTTTAAAAATTGTTTTGGGGGGCTGGGGATTTAGCTCAGCGGCAAAGTGCCTGCCTGGCAAGCACAAGGTTGTGAGTTCAGTTCCAGGTACTGGAGAAAAACAAAAAACAAAAAAACAAACAAAAAATTGTTTTGGGTATTCTAGGTCACTTGCATTTACATATGAATTTTGAAACCAATTTGTCAATTTTTACCAAAATACCTAGGATTTTGATTTGGAATTCATTGACTGGAGAATTGACATCTAAATAATATCAAGCTTTGAATCAAAAAGTCTACAAATGTAGTCTGTCTCTCCATAAGATTAAGCCATCTTAAATTTCTCTTAGCAATGTTCTCTAATTTTGTTAAATTTATTCCTCTCTATTTTGTGTTGATGCTATTGTTCTGATTTCATTTTCAAATTTCTGTCATTAGTATAAAGAAATGACAAATTTTTGTCATTAGTATATAAACACAAAATTGTGTTTTGTTTATTGACATGTATCCCACAAGATTGATACATTTATTTATTTGTAGAACTTATTTTGTAGGTCCCTTAGTATTTTCTATGCATCCCATTATGTCATGTGTAACCATGTCTCATGTTTTTCTTTCTAAATCTTCAGGGCTTTTGTTTCTTTTTCTTGCCTTATAACAGTGGCTACAGTCTCTCCTGAAATGCTGAGCAGAAGTAAGCAAAGTGAGTATTTGTGTCCTGTTTCTTTTCTTAGATGGAGTTTATTCAATAGTTTCTCATGAAGTATGATGTTTACTTTAGTTTTTTGTTTTGCTGTTTTTCATACTTAAGTTGTCTATTTTTATTTTGGTAAGCATTTTATCTTTAAATAGCCATTGCATTTTGTCAGATACCTTTTCTTTATCTCATTAACAATTTTTACATGTGATGAGGCATAGATGGTAAATATTTCTCCTCCAGTGTGGTCCTCCAGGAAATTTTTTGGATTCCAGAACAGACTGAAGCTGAATCTGTGTGACATGAGTAACACCTAGTGTTTCCTGACAGCTGTACTTTCATGTGGTACCTTCTGTTTTCATTCAAGCTTCCTTCTTTATGGGAATATTCTTAGTTTTAAACTAAATCATTCTAGAATTGTGTACTTAACTACTAAAAATAATAGGTTTCCTTTCATTCACCACATTTCTTAAGACAAACAAACACAAAAGCCTTAGAACTTAGCTCACTTATCATAATCAATTTGCAACCTGAACAAAAAAAGTGCAAAAATATTATGGGTCTTTCTACTCAAACAAAAGTCATGCAACAAAGAATGATTGGGGACAAAATGAAGCACTGAGCTGTGTCATGGGGTGGACAACTACCATGTTACCTATGAACAAACACATGCTTCAGCAGCCAGTTTAGAAAAACAGTCAGAATCCTCTTACCCTAAATTTGACTAAGAATAATACTTCATCCCTTAGGACTAGCATAAGCTTGTACTATTCTTTAATAACTGTCACTCAATCTCAAAAGGAAATATCCATCATTCAGTTCATTAGACATGACAGTTTAAATGCTTGAAGCATAGCCTGATAGACATTGAGAGTTAGCGCTTTCTCTGTGTAGCTTCATAATTTATACATACCTCTGTGTTCTCCTTCCTTTCTTTACTTACATTTTCAATCAATCAAACATACCTTATATTTAGAAGACAACTTTTGTTGATGACAACAGAACATATGCTCAAATTAGCTTTGTATTTCATGATAGACTTGGGAACATTGTTGTTACAGCGACACTCCCAAATCTCAAAATATTCTAGACCAAGCATTCCTTTGAAGTTTTATGGGATGTCACCCATGAAAACTAACCTTAATACTAAAGACTTGAATTTTGTGTTCAGCAAGAAACCCCTGCAAAACTAAAGGGACCTTGGGTCAAAAAAATTCAAGAACTATGACACAGTATAACATCCTCCTAGAAATTCATAAAACATATTTGCATACTTAAAGCTCTTCACATTCCCATTCTTCCTCTTGTAATATCAGATGACCCTCTGTTTGGAGATGAACCATTTTTATACACTTCCATGTGCAAGGTCACAGCTTGAACTGCTATGGCCCTCTAGTGTGGTCTTCCTCCCCTCTCTCACAAGGCACAGTTGATCCTAGGAAGGAAGTTGATCCCTTGCTTGGCCAAGTTGTCCTGTCTTTAGGAAATATGGAAAACACAGAGAGAAAGAAAGAGAGGGAGACTAGACATTTCAGGTAGCTCAATCTATGACATGCACCTGGATCACTGCTGACATCCTTGTCTTCAACAGATGAAACACACATTCCACAGGAGCTGGTCTGCATGAGAGAGAAGAATTACAGAGACAGCCAGAATGGGGCACAGATACAAGATGGATCAAGGGTGGTGAAAGTTGCCAGCTATCTGGCAGACATTATAGTGCTCACCAAGGTGGATTCAGGAAGGTTATATCTCCCAGCCCCTAGCATTTAAGCAGGGCCTTCTTGACTCCAGGCTTTTCCTGGCTTAAAACAAAGACAACCCCTGTGAGGTTCTCCAGTCTCTCACTTCCCTGCTGGGGCAAATTTATAAGCCTCTTGGTGAGGTGACAGATCCCACAGAACCAAGCAGCTTGGGCCTCTGAGTCACTGTGCAGAGGACAGCTGTCCTTGAGAACCACATGGACTTGCAGGCTAAGAGAAACAACATTTGTTTTCTTAATAACTGCTGAGATTTTGAAATTGTTATATAACAGAACTTACTTCATTCTGGTTGATATCCTCTCCAAGCCTTACTTCCCTCATCTGTAAAATGGAGATAAGTTTATTCTGTTACATACCACCCTCAATACTCATCTCAGAAATAGCTTATGAAGAAGCATAATTTCTTCATTTTTAAGCACCTGTGGTGTGTAAATCTAGATTATTCTACATTTGTCTATATTAGTATGATACCATCAGTGCACATCCAGTGTCATCTGACTTCACCTTCACAGCAGCCTGAGTTCAGAGGGACTTGTGGTGGGGGCAGAGTGAACTGTCCTTTGTCAGAGGAGGCACCGTGGCAAGTGCGGTGCAGGGTCTGAGGCTGCCTTGTGCCTCGCTGCATCCTCACTGCAAACAGGGATGGGCACAGTGCTCTGTGTGACGCTCTCCTAACCCTTCTTGCTGCAGGCAGATGGGCAGTGACTCATGAGCCAGCCCTGGGACAAAGGCACTGGCTCTGCCAACTGGTGCTTAAGAAATATAGAATGAAAAACTACTATTCTCACAAATCAACTGGCAACATCAAGGCTAGCGCTGGACATCCTTCTTATATCCCTGCACTTCCTTCAGGCTGACCTGAGGCTCCATCTCAGACTAACTGCAAATCTACGGAAATGTAATGTGATCCCAGCACTGTGTGTGTGTGTGTGTGTGTGTGTACACAGACACTCATGCTGGGGAATGCAGCAAAGGAAATCATTGCTATTCTTTCCAGAGCTCTGCTTGGCACTTTTTCTGCTTAGTGTTTACTGTTGGAAAGATCTACCGCCACAGCCAACCCCTCAGTCTCCAAATTAGCAAGTTCAACCAGTCAAGAAGAACACATCTACGAGGTGTGAGTTTGAAAACTGAAAATGAGATCAGTTTGGCTTTATAATTCATCAAAATGATCTTATTATTCTATAGTCATCAGTCGGGGACCAACAGGGAACAATTCCTAATGGAGCTGCTGCGTGGAGGCTTGTCTTTCCCTCTGAAGTGGCTGTAGGTCAGAGTTTTAGGCAGGAACTTTTGGACCCATGTTGATTTGGAGACCACTGGTTTCTTGCGCAAACCATCATAACTTTTAGCCTTCACCAGAGTCTGAGGCCAGAGCTTCAAGGGGATTGGCCAACTCTTCCAACAATGCAAAGCACAGCTGGGCAGAGAGGAGGAGGGATTCTGCTCTGCAGAGGGTCTCCCACCTCTTCCTAAGCCCTCCCATGGCCACTGCCGCCAGGCAGACAGGAATAGATGGAGAACCTAAGAACTGGTTCATCTTTACCTTTAGCACTCCCACCTACCCTCCAGAGCTGATCTACTGAGTGCCCGGTGCTATTTTTTTCTTCTTGATTTTGGTCATTTCATTGGGTGGGCAGAAGGTTAGATCTTTCTAGAAATTCATTTGGTTAAGTCACGATCCCCAGGCCTTGGAGTCCAGGCCCAGAGATATATGTGTCCACATATAAGCTTTCTTAAAAGAAGGCCAGGACCCTGTGTGTCTTTCAGACTGAACCGAAACCAAACTGCAAAGACAGTCTGTGTACTTGTTTGTGCAGGACAGGGGCAGAGACTCCATTTCCTTCCTCCTGCACTGGCAAGGGGCTTCCCACTCATTTCCCAAGGAGCATTTCATTTGTGGGTGAGAAACATTCGTCGATGTTAAGGTCAGCCTATAAAATTGAGTGGCTGGTTCTTTCGTTTCCGGCACACTAGAATTCTTCTTATACAGTGCAGTTATTCAGAGAGTTTATTTGGTTATTTGTTTTCTTTTTCATCTCAAGGGGGATTTTAACAAGTTTAACTCTCAGTTATGTGGGTTATTGAGTTTGTTTGCTGGCAGCTGTGTTGGGCCCGGATTAGGACCGCTGAATGCAGGAGGTGCCATTACAGAAGGGGACTTGTGCAGAGTGGTGACTCTGAAGACAAAAAGCAGGGATAAGAGAGGGCCCAGCTATGACGTCAAGGCTTGTTGATAAGTTTGATATGGAACCCCAAGAGGAAGAAAATAAAGCATAAGGCCATAGTTGCTCAGTCCAGAGGAATTTCAGACAATTGCAATGTAATCACAAACCCTCTAGTATCCATATAAAAAGTAAGACAAAGTAATGAAATTATTTTAGTAATATATTTTATTTTAAGAAAGAAAAGATAGTCAGGCAAGGTGGTACATACCAGCACTCTGGGAGGCTGAGACTGGAGGATCACCAGTTCAAATCCAGCCTGGGCAACTTAGTGACTTAGTATCTGATGTAAGTCTCCTTTCGTTAAAATCAAAGAAAAGATTTTTGTTTTTTTTATGTTACTAGTAATTGAGTAACTTGTAATAAGACAGAAAATATTAAGATAGTTCTCTTTTCTCTTGCAGACTTAATCCAGAATTATTCTTGAAAGAAATAATTGACACACACATATCAGATCGGTGAGGGGGGTAGTCTTAGAAAAGTAATTTTACTATTTTAGAAGTAATGGTGAAAATCACTTAGAATAATTTCCACTGAAACACATTTCTTCTCCAGCATTATTTGTATCGAAGATGGGGATTCTGGGCTAGATTAAGCACAGCATTTATCCCAAAACATTTTAAAGTACTTTCTTTACCTTTAGTGCTTCTGGAAAAGGAAGAATTTCTTGCCAGCTGGCCATAGGACAACAGAAGGGGAAAATGGACATTACTCCAAATGTACCTCCAGATTATAGCCATGGAAGGATGAAGTTCGGACACAGTAAATATTGAAAAATCAGGGAGCACAGCTGTGTCTTAAGGGGCTCCCAGTCAAAGAGGCAGTGAAGTTAAGTGAACATCCCAGCAGTGCAGTGCCTGCAGTACAGTGTGAGGCGCTGGATAGCAGGTGATTGGTTTTACCCAGATAGATCCAAGCAGTTTTCTGAAGCAGCAGCTTTTAAGCTGAGTCTGGAGAGAGAGCATGTAATCAAGCTATCTAGAACCTGGGAGAGCAGATTTCCAATACTATAGAGGAAAGAGACGTGATTCCAGAGGTCAGAAATTCTGCCAGCACCTGTCACATCCAAGGTGCTCTGCTAGAGTGTAATTTGTATCACAAAAGTATAAATACTAAGCATTCTCCTTGTACAGATGATCAGATGAAGGGTGCTGTGGGCCCAGCATGCTGGTTCCCACAGTTCCAGTATGGGTCAACCTCTTGATGTGACTTCTAATAAAAATAAGATACATTTCCAAGTTATAATAATAACAGATCTCATCAGCTTTAAAAAAAAATTTCTGGACTCTTTTGCAAGCACCCTACACAGTAAGTCCCTGACTTACAAACATTTGAGTCACAAACTCTCACAGGTATACTGTACAAGATCCACTTTGTCAACCTAGGGTTAGGGTTAGGTGTACAAACGAATCCAACTTATGAACAATTCCCCTGGAACAGAACTCATTCATAAGTTGGGGATGTACTGTGTATGACAGCTCATTTAAGCCTCATCTTAATTTTTCAGATAAAGAAACTGAGGCACAGAGCAGGTAAGCCTCTTATAAGAGGCCATTCAGCTCATGGGGGGTTTGATAAAAATACGAAGCTGCCCTAAGATGTGAACTCAGCCATTTAAGCTTGATACTGCAATTAGGAGAAAGGTAAAAACCATACATTGAGGGGTTGGTTATAAAGAAGGAAGTGACAGAGACAGAACTGGAAACCCAGGTCAGTGTCCCTTGGAAAGAGCCAGATATCCCTGGAATTATGGAAGGATACAGTATAGAAAGAAGGAGGTGGCAGCCCCATAATGTTCAGGATGGAAGTGACTGCATCTAGCTTCGTAGTTGTCTTTGGAGTTCCACAAAAGAAGGACTATTCCACAGATAGGAGGCTGGATGAACTGGAGGTGATAAACTTAGCTACAATGGAACCAGCGACAGGGATATGTGAATGTCCTGGTTAACTAACCAAAAAGAGAGAGATGGTACAGATCCATGGCTCCAGAGGGGAGGACTAAAGGGAATTTCCAGTATGAACTCTGAATGGAGCAGTGAGCTCCTTGGTACTAGGGTTTCTTTGGGGGATGTTTTGTCTTGTTTTGTTTTGGAAAGCAGGCAGGAGAAGATATCAGAATGTGTAAAGAGAGGAATTCTGTGTCCAATGAAGACTTGCTTGAAGTTGTCTCTAACATCACTGTCCTCTATTAGTTTACTGAATTTTAATCATCTTCAAACATATGCGATGCCTTTTAAGAAAATGAATACATGGCACAATCAAGACACGTGAAGTTCATTAAAAGCTGTTTATCTGGCATTTTATTAACCAGCATTTGCATGTTTTATCAATTCTTTGGTTCATGGGGTTTATCCTGATGCTCCTAAGGAAATAAAAACATCTTCAGTATTTTCAAAACTAGGCTGGATCACTCTATTTGTCATTTGCTGGTGAGAGTATTTTGTGGTGTTCCAATTATTTTGAAAAATCGTGCTTTGTACTTGACAACTAACACTCCTCCTTAACCAGAAGATGTGATTAACTACTAACCAGGTTAACCCACTCCCTAGCTGTGACAAACAGCAAATGTCACAGAACAATCGCTGAGCGGGAGGATTGAGCCTGGTAAGCCTACGTAGCAGTTTCCTAATTGAAAGCCAGAGCCAGCAAATCCCTGCTCCTCTCCCCGCTTGACCTTGCCCGGTCACAGGGAATATTATTTACACACCGGCAAAGTGGTTTATTCAGCTGTTTCAGGGTTTGAGTGTCGCTGCTTGTAAGTGTGACTGCCAGGAACATACAAAACGCAGCTAGTGCTGATGAAGGGTGGGTGTGCCGCTCAAAGCACAAAGGCTTATTCTTCCGCACAACCGTCTGGTGGCAGCATGGGTGTGCTGGAAGAGATGATGCCCCCAGCTTCAAGGGGAAGCCTGCCAGCCAGAAAACCCCCAGCAGATTTCCCCCAAGGGGCAGGACTGCACCCAGTTCATTGCAAGCCCGGATTCCTCTGGCAGCAAGACAAGGCAGCATGAGTTTCCTGCTGCTACCTGTCCTATGTGTCACTGCTGTCATCCTTGGCTAGTGCTCCGCGGATTTGCCTTGCTGGGGCTTGCGCTC